GTCCAGTTTTAGGGTTTTGCACAGAATTAAACCAAACAACATGAATCTAACATGCACTTTATTTATTTCCACTAAATAACAAAAGTACATCAAATCAAATTGAAGCTAAGGGCATACATAAACTGTCTAACAAATGGTACCCTATTCTTCTAGTATTGCTACTAGCCACAGCCATCCAGTTTCTCCAAATGTCATCAAAAGAGAATGTGTGAAAGGAGTTCAAAGATCTCAGCTAGTGGATTTCCCTAGTCAAAATACAATCCTTTACAGTCTGAATATTTCCCTCCTCTTGGAATAGCCTCACATTTCTTTCTTCCCAAATTGTCCACAAAACAGCAGCTCTAATGCACCACATTGTTTTACCAGTTTTTGTGGGCCACACAAAGGAGGGGTCAGAGAGTTGATCTTCTTCTTGTTTTCTTCCCTCTCCAATATTTTTCTAGCCATCTCAGTCCCCAACAGGTGTACTTGGTCTGTTACTTCCAATGGGTTCTTTTCAGTTAAACTTTTTTCCAAAACCTCATGGAGGACTTTCCTCTCTCGGCTTTTCCTGATAGAAAGATATGACTCCACTAGGTCCTTCCTAGAGTTGCATTCTTCATTTAGTGCTTGTGAAAGTACAAATACTTTGTGACAGAATTCAAAAGAAAAGGAAAGGCTAGCTTTGCATCTCTCTGCATGTATGCATGATGTGTTTGAAGGATGGGGAATCGACTGGTCATCTGATCTTCAATTGTGAAGTGACTCAAAGATTATGGCAGCATTTCTTGAACCTCGCCAACTCTGGCAGATACCATTGGGTGCCTTCTAACTTGACTAAAGTCGGTGGTTGGGCGGTAAATGGAGCAATAGAGGAGAGATCTTTGGGAAGGTTGTTATTCATGCACAAATGTAGTGTATTTTGGAGGAGCATAACAGAAGATTATTTGAAAACATTTCTACCTCTCCTGAAGCCCTTAGAGAAAGGACCCTAGCTACAATCAACTCTTGGATGCTTGCTCATAAATTCTTTAGAGGAATTTCTTGAGATGATATGATCAAAAATCTCTTATTTATGTTGAAGTCTTCTAGTTCTAAATATGACCTGTATAAATCCAAAAATAAAGTAGAAAAGAACGGAAGCAGAGAAAGGAAGAAGAGAGTCAATTGAACCTCTGTCCAGTCCCCCATAATAATCTTTTATTGTTCTAATTCTAATGTGAATACAATTATATGAATGCCCTTAGTAGGGCGGGTTAGCACTAAAAGCAATTTATACTACTTTAAAAAGCATGAATGGCCTTAAAAATATTTCTGGAATTTTCTAAAGACAAAATTTACCCCTCTATATTTAAATTTATTGATAAAAATGAGGGCAAATAGGGTAATTGGTTCTTTATATTAAATGAGTTGAAATGAGGTAATTTAAAGATATTCAATTCATTCAATTCTCTCTCATTAAATCCAATATTTAAGTTATTAACTTGCATTCATGTTTATTGAATCATATATTTAAGTCATTTTTGTTTCTTCTCATCATTAAGTTCTATTAATTAAATCCATACTTAATAAACTAATAATTCCAAATTTTCAATAACATAA